GTCCCATAGTAGGAATGGCACCACGCCACAATGTAAAAGACCTTCCTCTTTATTATACGGAATAATGCGTCAAATACGTTTTTGTAATTGCGTCTGTCAGCTGCATTTGAAATGATTAAATTTTAATAATATATGTATGGATGTTATAATAATCTTATGAGGAAAGATGTGAAAATTTACCAATAGGTAATCTGCCGTCTGCTGTCATCCTAATCAAAGCTACTTCAGCAGGTGTACCTACAAATGCTCCAACGCAACCAGCCGTCATGCCAAGTAATGCTTTCACGATAAAACTTGGTTGTGCATCTTTTCTAAATCATATATTTTTGTAATATATTTATCTGGATTCTTTCTTTTGTATGAAAATTTTATTGTAGATGAACTTACGAAGAAAGTTCCATAAGCCAAGTATATATACCGAGTCTAGTGGTGGTATATGTGGCTTGGCGCATTAAACCAGCAGATAAACCTGAGTATAATGCCAAAACACCTTCATTCTTTAGAATTGCTGATGTAATGCTTAATGTTGATGTTTTCGTACCACTCAACTGCATGCGATTTTTTATTAAATCCAATGGCTGTACAAAACATGTCGCTGCCATACTGTAATTAAACATATTACATTTTTCCTTGATTATTTACTAAAAAAATATAATATCTGAATCTATTAGAGTTAGAGAATCTATTAATTTTAGGGAAAATTTACAATCTTCTCTGATACAATTAAAAATTTCATATGCATAACAAAAATTATATATCGTGGAAATTAATAATTAAAAAATAATTAAAATAATAATTAATAATTAAAAAATAAGTTATTTTAAAAATTTAACCAATTAAACATTTCTTACTTTTTGATCACTAAATAAAGTTTAATTTATCAAATAATTGATGTTAAAATTAATTTATAACTATTATATATTATTTCTTGTAAATTATTAAAAATTGAATAGAATTTTTTTATAGCGCGCTGTCAATATATAAAACGAGCTATTGGTTTGTCCAGGAATACAAATCTATTTATAGTATCGATAAGATATATATATATATGTACATATATATTACATCATCGTGAAAAATTAATCTTTTTTTTCTCCGTGTTTAGTCATTAACAATAACGTCGATTGTAACATTCACGAGAAACAAGTTTGATGAATTTTGAATCTTGACCTTCGACCTTTAGTTGAGCGATTACGAAATCCTTTTATATAGCTATTAAAAAAAAATAATGTACACTTGTTCTGGCATTGTCGCCTTGAAGTTGTCACAGATGTCATGTATTCGAAAGAAACGTAAAAAAAAAAGAACACAAACCCTGAGGTGCCGCCGATGAGGAACTTTACACCGTTCGGTACCGTCTTTTGAGCGCTCATTTTGTTTAAATTAATTACTTGTCGAATATCGCGTCTATATTAATCACGCGGGTTTTCGTGTAAAATAATTAACATAATCACCGATCGTGTAAAGAAAATAAAATAATTAAAAAACGGCCTGTCGTAGGAGCCGTGTACTGTCGATTACACTGCTCATAAGCACAGGAGAAGTCGGAATGGTCGGAATTCGGTCGGAATCATATAATCCTCACGATCGCCCTTCGGACATCCGTGTCATGTGTCAGCTGATATAGAATTATGGAAATAGCAAAAGCGCCATCTTTCCGTGGCCATACTTCATCGGTATTTAAAATTGCCATAGATACTTCTTCATACGTGAAACTACATCAATAATAGATTTGCAGTTGGAGGCATCGGTTTAAATAATCATCCGTTATGATTGTTGGTCACCGATGTATTCTAATTTATTTATTATATTTTTATATTTTTTAAATATAATAAAACGTACATATCTAAATTCACAAAAGTCGACGACATATCAAAGAATTATAACCAGCAAGAAAGTTGCATTGACTAAAATTTCTAGATTTTGAAAATCCTCAAATTCTTTAAAATAAAGAATAAAAAATTTTAAAATCGTTGAAATATTCGGAGAATATAATCAGCAAATCATTGCATTCATTTTAAAATCCTAAGAATTTTTTAAAATTTCAAGAATTTGTATCAAGGATTAGTGAAAAATTAGTAATTTCCCTGATTATTGACGTTAAAATATTTTTTCAATTATTGGTATCTTGCAAACCCGCGACATTTAAATTTTCAGTATATGTAGCTGTTGGACAATAGAAAAATTAAAATAAATTTTAATTTTTTACTTGTATGAAATAAGAACAAATATAGAGTTTTTTATTTTTATATACATATAGAAATTATACATGTTTAGTTAACAATTATCCAATTGTGATTTTATGTTTCTTATTTAATATGTAAATCTATAAATTCATAATTATTTAATTAATATCTATAATAACGTAATATAATAACGTAAGTTTATATATATAGAATGATGATATTTATATTTAATTATTGATCTGTTAAGGGATCATGCAATGTATTGGATATTAATTCAGGCTCTGTTAAGGATATCATACGTCCACACGAATCTGATGACCTAAAATTAATCAAATATCGATTCATCATCTTTATATCTAATTGATGTTGAAAAACAGAATTAGCTTTTATAATCTCAGATATATTTGCAAGTACAACTTACACATCCTTCAGAAGATGTAAGACTTGTTTATGTTCTATTCCTTCCAGCCATAAATTCAACAACTCCTCTCGTTTGCACCTCAACAATTGTTTGCAAGCATTCAGATTTTCCTTCACCGCATGAATCTTTTCTCGTGACGAAGTAACTTTCTCTGAAAGCGCACTGAATATCTAGGATAATGCATAATATGATAGAACACACTTTTATAGATAGGCGTTCGAATTTTTTACTAAAATCAAATACAATATATCTATATATATACTTTCATAACTTCCATGAGATCCTGATCGTGCAAGGAGACTAACTCTTCCAGTCGTTGATCGCTTCGTTTGTATTCTTTTTCCAACTTGGCTTTCTCGATCTCGCGTTGTTCATTCGTTTCGCTTGCTGATAATGCTCGGATTACAGAGATCAGCAGACCACTCTATAAAATAAATATGCAAAAGCCATAGATTTAAATACATTTAACGATAATCAACGATCTCATTATTATTATTAATAGAATTCAAAAGAACATTTTATTTACCGTTTCTTTCGTCGGTTTAATTCCTCGTGGTGGTTTGATAGGAGGCGTTATATTCATCTTAGACTTTTTTTTGTCAATAGCTAACAAATAAATCGTCTTATTCTTTTTTAATGGAAAAATAGCTATTCGTTCAAATATTTGTTCATATATTCATTCAGATCAAGCATCATTTAAGAAATTATATAAATTTTTATCAATCAAACTATTCCAAAATTATTAACCTTTTCTAACTTAATCTATACCTCCCTCTCTCTGTGACATAGATATATTAGATTTACGTACACACATATACATATACGTATATAAATCAGAAAAATATCGCAATAAATCTTACTAGTCGACTTAAATTACAAGATCTCTAATATGTACCAAATGTAAAAATGGATATATCGAACTTTGGATTAGAATTTAATTATCATGTTAGGTTAAGTTATCATACCCGACATATATAAATATATATATATATAAAACTATACATATACGAGTTCCTCTCTATTCTAAAGTCTTCTCTCCAGGCAGTTGCCTTCCCCCAAACTAAAAATCTCCCCTTCTACTATTCTTCTTTTACTCATTCTTGCACGCGACCACGTGAGAACAAGGAAGCGAATGAAGGACGCACACACAATAAATTTTCATTCCGATGTCAAAATAAAAATTGGAATTAAGAGATTTTAAGGAAAATATTTCCAATATTAAAAATATTATTTAATAGCGTTTTCAAATAAAATAAACATTTAAGTTTTATTAAGAAAGATCAAACAAAACGCGAAGAATAAATATCTTTAATTGCACTTCATATAGCCGAATTTTTGCAGTGCTAAGTACAATTCGTATGTTAAGGAAACATTATGCATAGTTAACTATCGAAATACATTTGCAAATCGCAAAAAACACTTTTGTAAAGACCGTCCTTGTTGAATAGAAGGAAACAAACATGTTGAACTGAGGAAGATTATACAATTATATCACAATCATGTTTTATTAAAATTACTTATTCAAAAATGTCAGAAGCCGACAGAAATAAATTCAACTTTATTACTAATTTAAGGATAAGGAAGGAGGAATTAATCAGTAAAGCAACATGTGTGTTATCAACTTATATATCTTTATATGCTTAACGTTGTATGCGTTGGATATAAATTGACGAATCAGACATTTTGCAAGATAGTGTTACTTTTTTTCATTTTTTTTTAAATATCACAGAATAAATTTTATACAATATTCTTATTGTACAGTATCTCAGTCCTCAGTCAGTTATAATAGTATAATTTATTGTGCATATGAAAAAAAAGAAAATTTGAAATCAATTATATCAGGGCCAGTTCTATTAAAGGAATATAAGAGATTTTATATAGAAAATAAGGAGTGTAACATGTTCGCCACAGATACATATACATATATACATATTTTTCTGTTCCCTATATCTTTTATATCCCCTATAATATATATTCCTAAAATATATACTCTAAATTTGTATAGGACTTACATAAGTTAATATATGTGGATATTATATAAATATTAATTATATAATTAATATGTGTTGTGCATTAATTACATAATTAAATATGTATATTAATTGTATGTACATAGAAAATCATAGTACAATTTATAAAAAATTGTATATTAAGTAATTAATTGCATTATCTATGAACCGTTAAATGTACGCGAATCTTACGAACGCAATCTTAAATGATGTGAGGCCATCACATAAGAATTTGCTTTGTAATTGTTGCTGGAAAAATAACTACCTTATCTGCCAGAGTGGTACAAAATGGACTTTGTCTTATATCATAAATTATCAATTTATAAATAAAGGAAAATAACAGTTGAATTGTATGCTAAAACAAACATGGATTACAAGGCACTTTTTATATCTTATAAGCAATATAATAGAATATAAATGTTAAATATTCAGTTAAGTATTTTTCAGAAAACATTTTTTAATAACGAAGTAAAAAAAAGAAAAAAAAGATCAATTGCTACTTTCTGCGTTAAAGAAAAAAATATAAAGTATAAATTAATCAGGAATGTGTACCCTTGTAAATAAAAATTATTACATACATTCGTTACGTTTGTGATGGAAAACAAATATCCCTTTAACGGCTAAACATACTTCGGAAGAAGGAAACGAGATTTTTTCTCAGTTACATCTGCGGTAACTGATCAATCGGCGTGGCAAATTTGAAATCTTCTGGAAACAGCTTGATCGCGTGTGGGTACATCAATTTGTACGATTGTCGGATCGTGACGTCTGCAACACCGGCGATGTCGCCAATTTCTTTCTGCGACCTTTTGTCTTCCGATGCCTATGTAAAAGGATAAAAATACATGAAAATAAAACAACATTCGCATAGTTACGGAATGCAGTGTAATTACAATTTTGTGTACCTGTGATGCCATGTAAATTGCCGCTGCAGCAACCGAGATAGGTGATCTTCCGGGTACTATATCAATTTCTACAGCTTTCCTAGCGATATGTGTAGCAGCTCTCTGTACCATATTTGGAAGGCCAAGATTAGAACAAAATCTGGACATGAAGTCACCCGTGGTAATGAGATCCACGCTAGTTTCGAGAGCTTTGAGAATGAGTTTGAAGCATCGACCGATTTCCTTCTTACTTATCTTGCTGACTGCACAGATCTCCTTAAATGTACGTGGCACACCTTCTTGTCTGCAGGCAATATACAAACATGCAGAAGCAATTGCATCGTTTGCACGACCCTTCAAATTTTTGCCATCATGCACTTGTTTGAACAATGTATTGGCTCTGTCCACAATGGTCTTTGGCAAGTTAATACGATCTGCCATACCATTAATCTCACGAAAAGCATTAAGCAAAGCTCTGTCAGAACTGCTCATCTAAAATATATTTTTGCAACCATGTAAAATATTATGTAAAGTAATAAAAAAAATGAAATATAATACTAACTGTCCGTCGATTTTGATATTTAGCAGTACCAAAGCCGTCGAAAGATGCAGCACCCGTTCCTGGTCCAATCATTGTGGATAGATCCGCACCATTGAGAAGTGGATTCTCTGGGCCACCAACACGTGATGGATCCACTCCTGATTTTTCATTGCTAAATGTTCTCCATTCCGAGCCTACATCTATTACTCTACAAAACATAAGAAGCTTGTAAATATCAAAAATTTTAAAACAAACTTATATTTCTAGAGTCTTAGAGTTACCTATCTCCTACAACCAATCCACATTCCGAACAAATCTGATCTCCTGCTCTATAGTCTTCTATAAGTGGGGCATCTGGATGTGCATAACAACAAACCTTATTTGTAGCATTCCTGTAAAACATCCATTTCGAAAATAAATATTTCGTGTATATCATACGCGACTAAGAAAGGATTTAAATATGAATTTTTTTTGCAAATGATATTGCCAATGTCAACAGACAATTGAATTCTTTAATCCAATTTTATATCTAGTCAAATGTTAATATGTCAAAGTGTAACATAGCTTTACAATTATGCAAATTATAATTTCGATTTAAGGTTTACATTAAAGTTTAGTCTTGTCGCAATTAATTTATCCCCAATCCCCATGTTGATGAAAAGTGCGCTTTGCATTGTACAGTATCAAGAAACAAAAAATACGACTAGTCGAACGATTGCGTGCGATCTTTACTTCAGCGGTACCGATAAAATTTTCAAGTATGATTCATAACGATTGTTACATTTTTAATAATTGATAATTAGAAATGATATTTAGTTCTTGCGAAGCTTACCGTGACGAACTTGCCATATTTTCACATTCACGTATTGCTCAGCACTGCAAAACACTGCTACGAGAACTGACGGGAACCAAGCTTAGGTGAGGGGGTAATGTTGCTGGCAGGTTTACCAATTCCAGATTCTTCCTATACAATGGCGAGAAATATCTAAGTCGAACGTAGCGTTCCTAAAGATCTGTGTCTACGATGCTAGAATTCGGTCCGAGAACTCGGATCGAGTTTTTATTATTAATTCATTCGACTCGGATAACTACAGATGTAGGCTTAAGGCCATTGTACGCGACAAAATTTTAATGATAATCGCAAGATCGTAAGCGAATTGATCAACTGCAATCGATTATTTTTAGACTATAAGAAGAATAATTGATTCTGATTGGTCAATTTGCTTATGATCTTACGATTACGATTAAAATTTTTTCACGTGCAATGGCCTTTATTCTCTAATTTCTTAACGACAATGTTGTATCGTTACGTTGTCATTGCAGGTATAATATATGGGAAAAAAGCTGCGTAATGACATCACTAGTTATATGAAAAACAATTATTAAATATAAAAAATGTATATTTACGATATATTATTGTACATATTAAAAAATAAAATTTAGATAAAAGTTATAGAGTTCAAAAAGATCTATTAATTGATAAGATCATTTATGATGTGTGTGTGTGTGTGTGTGTGTGTGTGTGTGTGTGTGTGTGTGTGTGT